ATGCTGATTTCATTTTCTAGCAGGATTTGGCACCTGCCCACACTGCTAAAAGCACCAAAAGTTGGTTAAATGACCATGGTGTTGGTGTGCTTGACTGGCCAGCAAACTCACCAGACCTGAACCCCATAGAGAATCTATGGGGTATTGTCAAGAGGAAAATGAGAAACGAGACCAAAAAATGCAGATGAGCTGAAGGCCACTGTCAAAGAAACCTGGGCTTCCATACCACCTCAGCAGTGCCACAAACTGATCACCTCCATGCCACGCCGAATTGAGGCAGTAATTAAAGCAAAAGGAGCCCCTACCAAGTATTCAGTACATGTACAGTAAATGAACATACTTTCCAGAAGGCCAACAATTCACTAAAAATGTTTTTTTTTTATTGGTCTTATGAAGTATTCTAATTTGTTGAGATAGTGAATTGGTGGGTTTTTGTTAAATGTGAGCCAAAATCAATTAAAAGAACCAAAGACTTAAACTACTTCAGTCTGTGTGCATTGAATTTATTTAATACACGAGTTTCACAATTTGAGGTGAATTACTGAAATAAATGAACTTTTCCACGACATTCTAATTTATTGAGATGCACCTGTAATGTCTCGGTTAAGTGCAATAAACATGAAAGAGCTGCCTGCACATACATCATATTGAAATCAGCCGCATATACAAACAGAAATCCGCGTAAACAGCCACTGCCGCACACGTTAATCCCTTAAAGGGGGCTTAAGGACATGTTTTAAAGGTATGATCCCTGCAGAGGAGTCTGTGCGTAATTAACACTGTCTGTGTTTTTGAAAGGTAGGGCAAATTACAAAGAAACAGACGAGAGAAACCGAACAGAAAACGAGAGAAACTGGTGGAGGACTTCTATTCTTATGGATGAGAGGAGTTTTGGAAGACAGACAGGGTCGATTTAATGTTCTCATAATAATTCTAAAATCCATATCAAAGGGCAAGAATAATGAACACAGCAACTACAACTCAACCCTTCATTATGACGAATATTACAGCTAATTCTAACCTCACTTTAAATGGTTTGAAGAGCGTAGGGAAAGGCAAACTTGGAAATGAGCAGAGATTAACTTTAAAGGGGTACACTGAATAATTTTCATTCAGAAATTGCTTTAAATTTCAATTAATTACAAAGAAATAGCAAGTTACATGAAATATTGAAGTGTTTTTTTTTTTTTTTTGTAAAACACTCCAATATTATGTTTTATTTACAACTTTGAAAAAAATCTGTGTAGTTTACACTAAAAGAAAGAAAGAAAGAAAGAAAGAAAGAAAGAAAGAAAGAAAGAAAGAAAGAAAGAAAGAAAGAAAGAAAGAAAGAAAGAAAGAAAGAAAGAAAGAAAGAAAGAAAGAAAGAAAGAAAGAAAGAAAGAAACACTAAAAGAAAGAAAGAAAGAAAGAAAGAAAGAAAGAAAGAAAGAAAGGAATTCTGTCATTATTTACCTTGTTGCGACTTTCCTTCTTCAGTTAAACATAAAAGTCATTTACGTTTTTTGTTTTAGTTTTTCTGTTTGTTTTGTTTTGTTTTGATTAGTTTTGTTTTATTTTTTGGTCCTTACAATGAAAGTCAAAGGCAAGCAAAACTTTGGTTAGCAGCATTCTTCAAAATAAAGTACCTTCTTTTAGAAGATATATAGGTTTAGAATGACATGAAGGTAAAGTAATGGACGAAATAATTTTCTCTTTTTTGGAGTGAACTATGTTTATAAGGCAGGTCAGTTTGTAGTCTAGCATTTATTCATCTGTTTGTTTTATTCAAAAACATGTTGCTATGTCTCAAACAAATGAAAAAGCAAGTTTAGTTGTTTACGTGTAAGATTCTAGCAGACAGTGGCAACGGTACATATGCATCAAGCAGCGTAAGCACGGTAACAGCGGATATAAAGGGTTTCCAATGCAACCAAAGTGGATCTAGAAGTGAAAGCAGGTATGGGCAGACTTGTCTGTTCATCAGAAACTATTAAATTAAATGTAGTCGTTTCTTTAATCATCTCTGTGATTTATGGGGTCTTTTATTCTCTGATTTCAGTGGACTCTCTTTTAATAACAGGGAGACAATGAACACCATCTGAGATGAAATAATTAAAAGTGTTCAAAAGATAAGATTCTTGTCTTTTTCTATAGTTTTACAGGCCGATTGAATAAAGCTTGGAATGACGTTCGGCAACATATGATTATGCGAAAAGCTACATTAATTATAGGATGAACAAAGATACTACTGATAAATATAGAGAAGATTGGTTTCAATCAGTCAGACTAGGATCAAAACAGAATTCAATAGAGTTTGGACTGTGTAAGGTAACAATTAAGAAGATGCCATTTTTGGGAGCAAATCATTGTATTTTAGAAATTCTAAAATGAGCTAAACCAATTCAATATTATCTGATTAAGCCTTGTCAAGATAACTGGATTAGCTGGATTGATTCCTTTGAACAGTGAAACCTTTGTGCACTATTACAAAAATTGACTATATACAATGTTAGATTAAAATTGTCTGTAGACCTTGGACTTAATTTGATAAATCATGCACCAGCAAATGAACTGAATTGACAGGAATCGCTAGGTAGGAGTGAAAGATAGAAGAACTCTCTCTGTCCGGTCTGACTTTGCCTCTGTCCGGCTGGTCTCCATGGAGATCGGCTAAATAAAGTAAGTGGACTTTCTCTCCATGATGAGAAATGGGCCATGAGGTTTATGCATCCTTAGTACCCTCCAGAAGCCCCCCAGAGATGCACACACACTGTGTGTACAGGCACAAGGACATCATAAGATTCTGTACATTTATTAGGACTGAAGCATCTTGTTTCGTTCTAAAAGTAGAAACAAAATGGCTGGTCTGCTGGTTATTGTCAGAAAATAAAGTCTGAAATCAGTTTATTTTGGAGTAATGACCAGCTGACAGTACATTGCAGTGGCAAGTAAACATCTGTGTATGAGACAAGAGTCAGTTTATTCGACATTACACAAAAATGCTATGCCCGACCAATCAGAATCCAATATTTCAGAGAGCCGCATAATGTGCCTTCACCTTTAAAGGATGTGACACCAAGCATGTCCATTATAGCACAGGGCGTCTGAGGCCACTTGTACAGGCACACCTGCAAGCGCCACGTGTTGCTTTCCCCACACACTAACACTCTCTCCTAACCTTTTCATTGGAAAAGGCTTCATTGATTTAAACAGGCCACAACCACTTCGCCTGCCGTGGACAGCATGCGGGAGCCCCAGGGGGTCTTCTGACAGTGGGCATTGGCCCAGCATGTGGTCCCTATCTGGAGACCGGGCAAGAGCCCACCTACCTGGATAACTAATGCTTACCCCTGCGTCGGCAAGTAGATTTCAAGTTAGAAAGTGCTGTGTATGTGTGTGTGTGTTTAAGTATCTGTGAGTGGGAGAGAGGGAGAAAAGAGAGAGAGACAGAGAGAAGTGATTAAATGTGGGAAGGTGTTTGGAATTGAGAATATAATGGAAGTAAACATAACTATTCATGCAGAAGAGCACTAATAAATAGAAATGCAGTTCCAAAAGCAAACAACAGGGGGCAGCACATAGCTGGAAACTTGAATAGAACAGAGAGTAAAGCCCGCCTTTTCTGCTTTCACCTTAGGGAAGAGCAGATGTAATGTTTTGCTTGCATTGATTACACGTCCGAAGACTCCTTTAAAACAAGGAAACCACCCTTTAGATACGGAGAGTGAAATGTAAAAAAAGAACGACATTCAGATTAACTTAAACCGTCCTGCTGTGAGTGCTAATACTAGCTCCCATTACCTGGCTTGAACAGTTTGAAGCTGATCTGACTTGAGATATTAATATCGGCTTGCTGTACTCTGCTCATAAATGGGAAGGCTGATTGGTTTAAAATGAGCTGCAGCACAGAGCCTAAATTGACATTGAAATCTATTGACTTGCCGGAGACAGAGACAGGGCCGGAATACCAACGGAGAAAGGCATTAAACAGACTCATTCTTCATGAAATTAGGAATTCCTCACGAGGACAGAAAAATCTATCTATCTATCTATCTATCTATCTATCTATCTATCTGTCTGTCTGTCTGTCTGTCTGTCCACAGTATATCTGGCTCTTCTCATTCTCATTCTTTTTCTCGATCGTTCCCCTCATACTGTCTGCTGTGATTTGTAGAGACAGCTCTTTACCATACCAGTAAAGCAGGCAGGCCCAGTCCCGGCCAAATGGTCTACAAGAGAGTGCTAATACTAGCTCCCATTACCTGGCTTGAACAGTTTGAAGCTGATCTGACTTGAGATATTAATATCGGCTTGCTGTACTCTGCTCATAAATGGGAAGGCTGATTGGTTTAAAATGAGCTGCAGCACAGAGCCTAAATTGACATTGAAATCTATTGACTTGCCGGAGACAGAGACAGGGCCGGAATACCAACGGAGAAAGGCATTAAACAGACTCATTCTTCATGAAATTAGGAATTCCTCACGAGGACAGAAAAATCTATCTATCTATCTATCTATCTATCTATCTATCTATCTGTCTGTCTGTCTGTCTGTCTGTCCACAGTATATCTGGCTCTTCTCATTCTCATTCTTTTTC